GTTTAACGACAGTTGATATATCAGTGCACATCCATGGCAACGTCTTCTTCCACAAATAATAATCGTGATTCACATAATATCCAAATCCAAGTACAATGGCTTTATTATTGTATCTTTAGAACTCGAGGACATAGATGTGCAATGGGTTGATTGAAAATCTTAAAGACTGCTAAGAAATATTGAATCTGGGGGGATAAGAGGTGTCACAGAAAGTGGCATATGCAACATTAGGGCTAAACCACAGTACATTCACCAAGGTTATGCTAGCTACATGATCTTCTAAGATGGGTTTAAATGATCGGGACGAAAAATCCAGAAACAAAACTCACGTTGTTTTAAAGACGACCAAGCTGCCAAGGCTGCATTCTTCTCTGCCTGTTTCTTGTTCTTGGCAGGTTCCCCAGTGAACGTGATTCCAGCCAACTCTATAGACCCTGTAAAAACAGGCAGATGTCCAAGTCCTGACCGGACTGTTGTATACTGTGGCAATGGAGCCCCAACTCTCTGGGCAATTTCCTGCAAGAGGTTCTTGTAAACCCCTGTCTCGTCCTGCCAATTACCATATATTACTTAATCACTAAGATACAGAGTTGAGCAAGAAGATCGACAATTTGAGTTCATATCTAAATGTACATTACAAAAACAAGCAAAAAAACTCTGTAGAATTGCAATCATACATAAATTGCCACAGCATTCAGCTCAATCAGCCATGTTATTGTCAAAAAAACTAGGAATACAGAGGCTTTCAGGGGCGTGCAAGGGGAAAAGCTACTAGGACAAGTTAAAACTAAACTTAATATCGCCAACCATCCCCATAGAAAATCACGTATGCAACTGGTCCCTTAATGATATTGATAACGACAAAACAATCGCAGATATCAATCAATGTTGAAGGCTTCCGTCAATAAGTTTCCTAAAATGTCCTCTGTTTCTTGAATTTAAAGTCTACGGTGTCGGCTTCGTCAGAAAAAACAACTGGATTTGGAATTTGATGAGCCATTAGAGGAAAAGAGGTGAAAAATGAAAGGTTATTCGTGAATTTTTGCATTCTGAAAGAACCAGATTATCTTAATCGCCGACTCCATCCCGACCGATAGAGGTCGCTAGCCGGAACGTTCAGGCGATCACCTGAAACCGTACTCAAGAATAAGATCGAAACTCCAATTTTGGCATCAGACTTTGAACTGCGATCGTAGGTTTGAAGACTGGCAAGGAAGGGAAACATGGAACTCGCACACAGTAATGCGACCTACTCTAGTTTGCAATAGCTACTAAAATAAAAGACCAAGAAGAACAACAAGAACGAAATCAAACACATCGTGAAACACAATAGTCGCAACAACAACAACGGCGGAAACTAATCGGCACAATGAGTGTAAGAATACGCACCAGGATCCGAGCGGCAAGCGAGTGAGATGGACCGCGATTCGCGAGGGAATTGAGAGCAACCTCGGCCGCGGAGTGTTCAGCCAGCCGGAGAGTAGGACAATGGTTAGGGCTTTCGAAGATCTCGCCGTTAAAGTTAACGGAGGCTTTGAACCTCGGAGCATGATCAGGCCCTTCCCTAACCGACGAATAAGAAGGAAGATTAAAGCAACTCCTCTGCGCCAATTCCTGAAGCTGATTTTTATACATTTCGCCTCCGATTTCAGCCCCCTTCTATCCCCCAATCACCTATAGGAACGGTAGCCGGAGGCGGAAGAGGAAATCGGACCGCCGCAGTGGTCGCCGGAGAGTGAAATCCGACGATGCAAAGGATTTCATCGGCCAGACAAAAATTGGAGCAAAAATTGAAGCAAAAGAAAGTGGGTGATCGATATTTCATCAGAATAAAAAGTTGGGGATTGGGAATTTAATGTTGCTCTGAGTCAACCTTCAGCTGCATGGGATGTGATCTCTTTCAAAGATTTTCTGTTCACTCTTCATAATTAAACTTAAACTTTCAATTTGAATATACTAATCAATGCTTGACTCAGTCTACCATTCTTAATTATCCTGTTTATCATATCAATGACACCCTAATTACTCCATTTATAGTAATTTAGAACCTTAAAAAGAGACATGGATAGAGTTAATTTTAAGTTGAATTAAACCATCAACAAAGTAGTTCTCCACGAGCTATCATTGGTAGGTCGGATAGCTGAAGTTACTCTCTCAAACTAAATCACATGACATCAATCATGATCACGTGTCAGTTAGTAGGCCATGAAAAAAAATGATCATTCGTAGAGACTACTTATGAAAATAACATTTATTTACACCATTGACAGCTATTACAAAAAAAACAAACAAAACCCATACAACAATCGCCACTTCCGAACTAACTTAGATGAATTATGTTTGAAAAGAAGGTGCCCCTCCTACCCATGTATTGTCATTGATAAATATATCAAATCACATTCTTTGAAAAATATATAATTAAAACGCTCATTCACATAGGATGCCCTGTCATTTCACATGTGATTGTCATAAACAAATGAAATGAAAAGAGCGGTGACAAATATAATAATTTGTAGGCTAAGATATATAAGAAGTGAGACATGTCACATCTTATACGACCTTTAAATCATAGCTTAATTGGTTAATATTCTTTATTTTAGGTCAAACTCCGCCTAAATTTATTGAATAAATTAGTTTCTTTTTAAATATTAGGAAGGGAAATTGAGTGGGAGACAGCAGAAAAGGAAGAGGCCTGAAAAAAAATAAAAGGTGATGGAAATCGTATAATTATTGGAGGGCCCTTATAAATTATTATATATCCCAATAATTAATAAAAGTTGATGAATTAAAAAATAAATAAATACATTATATAGTGTATTGGGCCTGTTGTTGCGTAAGGGAAATAATTGTAGCCCAAAAAGTAGCCATTTGGGCCAGTGGGTGACGGGCTTAACCTTAAAAATATTGGGCTTGTCGGCCCACTAAGTATTTGATGGATTTTCTCGCAATAAAAATAAATTATTGGAAGAAAAAATAATTGAAAAATTGTGACATATAATTGAAATAGATGTATTATTTTGTCTGTTGGTGCATTAATAAAATCCAAAATCACCATTTTGTTTATTGCAGTCCCTATTAATGCCCTTTAGGTAGGCCAAAGGGCCATTTCTTTATACACTTTTCGTCTCAATAAGATAAAATTTACCCGAACATTTGCCCTTTAGTTATTGATATAAACGACGTACCTTGTTTTCTTTTTTCAGATCAACTACCGTGTAGTGTTGAGCTGCTCTCGCTTGAGTGACGAGAACAGAGTTTAACGTAAAACTAATAAAATTTTTACATACGAGAGTGCGTTGAGTATAATACGACACACAGATGTTTTGACTTTCGAGTGTAGATATTCTGGAATCACGTGCATTTAGAGGCCACTTGCCATAACGAAGAATGGAAGGAAAAAAAAACAAGAATAAAAGGGGTTTTATGGTACAAGTCAATTTCAGTTAAAAAGTTTAAAGCATGGCCACGTGTAGCAATAATGTTTCAGCTGCACCATATCTCGGTGAACTCGATGGTGACGCTAATCGACACTGAGTGCGTTAAGAACCATGAAAACGACGCCCCATATTGAATAAAACGCAAGGTTGTCGATAGTGTCGTGGATGACAAAGTTTATAAGACAATTGTTGCTCTCAATTTGTGGCCCCCACCAATAACCATAAGAACAAATCCTACGCTCCATACTTACCCATACATTGCTTTCAGGCAAAGGTTAATTCTTGATTTTGAGATCTACTTCGAATATAATATTTGCATTTAATTATTACCTTTTCTTATTATAATTTTTTTAAAAATTTTTATAATAAAGGTGAAAGATTATAACATTTATTTTAAGAAATATGTATTTTAACTATTTTTAATTATATCTATTAATTTTCTAAAATTTTAAAATTTAAAATAATATCAAGTAGTTTAATGGGTTATTGAACTATTGCACATTATTTTTAACAAAAATAAAAAATTTATTATTGAGAAAACTAAGATAATATTAAAATTATTACGCTAGGTTCTCCTTAATTTTTAATTTAATTTAAAATGATGTATTAATAAACCATAGGGCACCCAATCATGTTTAATTACATAAGACAATTAAGTTTAGAGCATGGATGGGAGGAGTAATTCAGCTAAAGCCACGTCAGTTATGAAATGGTTGATTTTAGGGGCATGATGTTACTAAAGAAAATAATAATAATAATAATAAAATCACATCAAGTTTACATTATTGGTCACTTGTTGCCAGACTGATAATTGGGGGTGCCTTTCAAGGTGTATAATTTAGTCTATATATAAATATATCCTTTCATTAATTTGTCTATTATTTTAAAAGTGTTCATGATGTTTCACATTTCATACTCCATTTAAATTTAGGTTAAATTAATAAAAATATAATTCATCTTTGCGTCTTCTCTTAAAAATACTCTTAAATATTAAAATATCTAAAAAATATTCTTAATATTTAAAAATTTAAAGGAACCGATTAACACTTTATTTTATATAAATTTAAACTTCGAAACCGGTTTAAAATATACTTACTTTTAATTAAAATATTAAATTAAACTAAAATTTTAAATGTACATAATTTCATTATTAAAAACCTAATAAATCAATAATTTTTTAAAAAAAAGAATACCTGCCCACCCACCCAATAACCTATCATAAAATAAATTATATATATATATATACATATAAAATAGAAAAATCAATCATTTACCAATGGCCCCACATTTATTTATTATTTTTATTTTGTATAACGTACCACCAAGCCTCCCTCCATTAGGCCATGGATTTATGGAAATAAGTAATAGAAAATGATTATGGATTTATAAGCAAGGAATAGATCTTTATTGGTATGAGGTATTTTTGGACGCACACAACAAAGTCACGAAGGGCGTATGCTTAAAGTGAATAATATAATTCTATTGTGGAGATTTGTGATTACTAACGTACACCACCTTTGAGCTATGGCCGGAGATCAGAAAGTTATAGGGAGTTCCTCTCAGACGTAAGAACCAGCAGCAAAATCAATAACAATAATAAGAAGAAGAAATAATTATATTTTACAGCCATTAATGGAGCTTCTATTTTCCAGAAACTTACCAGTAACGCCCATACAACAATTATTTACACTACAAGTCCTTTCTAATAATCATATTTCAATCCTCGAACCCAATTTTTTCCCATATTGCATTTCTCACCCTACTCATATCTCTCCCTTTCAACGTCCTTCCAATTCCTTCGTGCACCGAAAACGACGCCGTCCTAGTCCTCGCCGTTTGCCTCGCCAAAAACTCATGAGGCGGCACTCTCATTTCCTCCCAATCCTCCTCGTCGTATTCAACACTCCGCTTCTCTCTGTACTCCTCCTTTAGAATCTTCGACCAGTCCGGGATATTCACCGGCAGCGACGAAGCACCGCCGCGTAACTCCACTGGATTCGACGACGGCTTTTTCGAGATTCGCTTCGCCGGGATCGGAGATCGCCGGATCTCCGGCGATATCAAACTACCGGAGTTGTAGATGTCCGATTCGTTGAGTTCGAACGGTAAGTCGGAAGTGAAGGAGTGGTGGTGGCCGGAGATGTCGCCGGAGAGGAAACGGTAGTTGGAGCGGCCGTAACAGCTTTTTCCGGTTGCCATGAGATGAGAAAGGAAATTTGTGAATTAGGTTGGAATCTGAAACTAACTTTTTCTCTGATCGGAGCGGAAAATCGTTGGAGTTTGGATTGATTTGGTTGAGTTCTTTTTATAAAGCTTGTTGGGGTTTCTTTCCATCTTATGTTTTACTGATAATGGATAAGGTTTTATTCTTTTCACTGTGCAGTTAAAAACCCTAAATTTACCAAAAACACCCTGTAATTTTAAGAAATGACACGTCGGATAATTCCATTTCCCACTAAAATGCAGGGTTTTCATTGGAAGGAGGAATGATCGTATGCATCGCGCCTCATAATAATCGGAATGAACCGACATGTCAGTGAATGGGGTCGATGAGTGCCACGTTTGGGAAGAGGAAGAAGCTTAGCCGTTGGGTCACGCAACTGGGGAGGGGTATTTTGGGAAGCGGAAAATGGCCGCTGTCAGTTTTTGTCGCGACGTGAGAAGGGTAATTAATCGAAGACTTGGGGTTTGGACAAAGAAAAGAAAAAAGGACGCGTGGCGAGATTCTATTGCAGGCAGTGGGACAAATGGGATTGCACGTGAAGTAGGCCCCACGCTTGCCAGCTGGCCTTGCATTTCCCTGCTGTCCTCTCACAAGCGACACCTCAAAATCTCCTTCCATTTTCTCGCGATATCTTCTTAATCTTCTTAATATTTAAGTTTTTTTTTTCCGTAGAAAAATGGTAAAAAAAACAAGCAAATTCTAGAAAAATACAAAAATAGTTATCATTGATATTTTGGCTCAAATATTATGATAACTTATGACAAATATCATAAAAAGTAAATAAATATCTATTCTTATTACATAATAATTTAATATATTATAGTTTATAAACACGGAAATCATATACTATATATCTGTTACAAATTAAAGTTCATGCATTCACTTTCGATTTTCTAAACGTTTAATCCTTTTAACTTAAATTGTGAAAACCCACGTGGATTTAAAGAAATTGTTTAAAATTTAATAATAAAAAAAACTAATTGTTTATAAAATGGGTCGAAGAAATCCTATTATAAACGTAATTGCAGTGTGATTACGTAAAAATTGAAAATATAACAAAGAAATGTAAATTTGATTCGTGCGTTATTATCATTATTACCATTTTACCCTTATCAATGTGTCGACACGTATATAAGTAGTAAAATATAGGGAAAGATATTAATAAAAAAATATCTAAATTGATAGAAGTAATGAAGAGAGAAAGGTAAGAGAAAAAGGGGAATGAGTGTTTATTTGGCTATTGAGGAGGTAGGAGGGGCAAAGTGGGGTTTGGAAAATGAAAGCGGACGGTGAGTTTTGTTGGCAACTGATCGGAATTGGAGGAGTGGGCCTAACCCTAAAACTAACCTCCCTTCCTTTTCATCATTTCCCTTTCAAACGCTAACTTTTTATTGTTCTATTGGGCTTGGGCCTTTGCAGCCATCTACATAATGGGCTCTCGGTTTTACGGGCTTCCTTCCTCGAGGCCTTATTGAAATGGATAAGCCCAATAGCTAGGGCCTCGAATCACTGATCTCTCCATGGCCTTTGGTTTTCAATGCGAATAGGAAAGGAAAGCACATTCTCGCCTACTCTGTTTCCCGAGGTCCTTGCTAACGTCTTCGGACTCCCTAATATTTGCCGTTATTAGGAATAATGACTCTCCGCAATGGTATGATATTGTTCACTTTGAGCATAAGCTCTCCTGTCTTTGCTTTGGACTTTTCCAAAAGACCTAATACCAAGGTCAACTTATCCATTTTAATTGAGATTCTCCTGTCGTGCAGGTTAAATAGATTATTTACCAAATAAATTTTTATCGAACAATTATTCTCGCGTTCATGCTCATTTTTATTTTTTTATTTTCATTAAAAAAAAAATTGAACTATGATGACATTTTTATACTATCACTCTGAGCAAATACAATGATATTCTTAGAAATTATAATTATAGAAAATATTTAAAACAAGTGTTGGAAAATTAGTCAACCGACCATGTCTATCACTTCCAACCTCGTCCATTTACCCCCACAATAATGTTCGTCTTCAAAACGGATTTTGTAACTGCCACGTGTCACTCTGCCATCCACAACTTTATTCCCTTGAATGAAGCCAAAGCCACAGACATATATATATATATATATATATAAATAACTGTCGAAAATATTGATTTAAATTGTGGATAAGAATGATTTAATATGTGGAATTTCTGGAGTGGGCGGCAGACATGGTCCATTTTCTGAATTAAACAATTTCAATGTCAATTTATTTAAATCCATAGTCGGTTTGTATGATTTAATTTCCCCATATTTCAATTTTTTTTTTTAATTTTATCTTATTTAAATAATTTTCTATGAGTTGGTTGGAAAGTTTGCTTCAAAATTAGAAAAATAATGCGTTTATATGATTGGTCTATTTAAATTCTCTTACGAACACAAATTTTTTTTAAATAAAAAATTTAAATTGACTTTTTAAAATATTATACATTCGATTATAATTTCGTTGTCGAAGGTTACAAGTTAGGCCTATTTAATCTATTTACATTCATTAATTTATACGCATTTTTTTTATCAATAAAATTAAAGTTTTAACTTTCCCATCACATTTTAAATATATATCGTATTTTTTTTTAAAACCTTATATTTATTTTGTGAATTGGACTTAAAAGAAACATTTTTAAAACTAAAATAAATAAATAAGATATTGTTTTATATGTTGTAGGTTTTAAATTCGCTTTCTACGTTATAATATATAAAATATATTATATATAAATTATGTAGATTGTGAGGAGCAGTGGCGTATTATTTTTATTTAAAACAACTAAGACCTCTAATTTTTTTTTGCTTAAAATTCAAAACGTGGATATTTAATTTACGAAAATATTGCCTAGATTTTCATTTATTTATAATATTTTCATTATCGTTAACATGGAAAAAAATATTAAATAAAAGATTAGGATGGTTAGTCTAAATGATTGGCGATTAAAAAAATAAGAATTAAGTAAATAAATAATATGGAAATTCGGTGGAAATCCAGGTAAGCTTCTCTGGCTTGGCTGATCATCCCCCAACAATAATTTACGACATATATTATTTATATATTTCTTCGTCATTTCTTTTCCCAATTTAAACTATAAAGTTAAATTAAGTTATATATATATTTTTTTAATTTGGGTTGGGTTCAACATATTTAACTTCTAAATATTTGAAATTTAAACTTAATGATTTTAATTAGAAATAATTTTTTAATATTTTTAAGAAAAAACAACCCACGTTAAAACTTAGAAGGTACCGAGCACGTGAAGTATGTTTTTTTTTTTTAATTTTAATTTTACTGTTATATTTATGAAAGATTAGAAAACTTACCGACCAAGCTAAACAATAAATGTAAGTCAGTTTCAACTGAATATAAGGTAACGTAAAGTAACGTAAGTAAATAAATAAAATTATATATGCACTTAAATTGACGTATGATATGTACCTTTAATTTGTAATATATGATTAGTTATTTGAAGTTAAATTATAAATTGAATTAATTAATTTTATTTTTTAAACTTTTGATCCCTACATTAATACTTGTTTTGGTTAATATAAATTAGTTACAGAATAGAAAAAAAAAATGAAAATGAAGACTAAAATAGTTATGTTTAAAAAAAGCACAACCACTAAAATAGGCGTTTAAAAGAAAACAACTAAAGTATGAAAAATAATATTTAAACTTAATAATTTATATATAATTTAAGAAAAAGAACCAAAATAACGTATTTAAAAAGCAGAGAGGTTTTGTTTGTACTTTGTAGGTTTGTCTTGAAGGGGATGGGTGTGAATTTACCAATTTACCCCAAGTGATTAGGATCTGCGTAAAACAGTCATGATCCGTTGGATTGTTTTGTAAGATAGCTAAATAGCCGTTAAATTGTGAGAGACTTCATTGAATGGTAAAATAAATAAAAAATAAAAGAAAAAAGAACCATTTCCTTATCTTCCTCGAATAAAGACAAAACAATATGTCAATCAAGAGGCGGTAGAAGCGGGAGTGGGCCCCACTTGCAAGCGAAATCAAGCTCATTGGACGGTCCACCTCTAATTTCATTTATCATTAATTAAACTCAATCTCAAATGCATTAAATTTTAATTAACACTCAAATAATACTCCATCTCTCTCTAATCATCTCCTTCTCTCTCCTTCTAGTATTTTCTTCCCCGCTCCATAAATACCCTCCCCCCCCCTTCCTCCTTCTCTTCACTGACATTCCCTCCGCCGCTTTAACCAGCAGAAACCCAAATTATGGGCAAGGACGTTGAGGCAGCCGAGCAAGGCCAATTCCAAGCCAAGGACTACCAAGACCCACCTCCGGCTCCTTTCATCGACCCAGACGAGCTCACCAAATGGTCCCTTTACAGAGCCGCCATCGCCGAGTTCATCGCCACTCTCCTCTTCCTCTACGTCACCGTTTTGACTGTCATCGGCTACTCCCACCAAAGTGACTCTAATGTCTCCAAAGACCCCTGTAACGGCGTCGGAATCCTCGGCATCGCCTGGGCCTTCGGCGGCATGATCTTTATCCTCGTCTACTGCACCGCCGGTATCTCCGGTGGCCACATAAACCCAGCAGTGACCTTTGGGCTGTTCTTGGCAAGGAAGGTGTCGTTGGTTAGGGCGGTGTTGTACATGGTAGCTCAGTGTGCGGGTGCTATCTGTGGCTGTGGGTTGGTTAAGGCTTTCCAGTCGGCGTACTACGTGAGGTATAATGGCGGCGCCAACATGCTCAGTGATGGGTACAACAAAGGCACTGGCTTGGGAGCTGAAATCATCGGTACCTTTGTTCTTGTCTACACCGTCTTCTCCGCCACGGATCCCAAAAGAAGCGCCAGAGATTCCCATGTTCCGGTAAGTCCCCAACCCAAATCGTTAAATTACTCTGTTTTCTCTGCATCAGTTAACCAACTCTGTTTCTTTGAACAAAGGTTTTGGCGCCACTCCCAATTGGATTTGCAGTGTTCATGGTTCACTTAGCCACAATCCCCATCACCGGAACTGGAATTAACCCTGCAAGAAGCTTCGGAGCTGCTGTCATCTTCAACCACGAAAAAGCCTGGGATGATCAAGTAATTAACTAAATTACATTCCTTTTGGCTTGTTTTGGAGTATTAACTAATGGGTTTTTGTTCGAATTGTTGTTTTGAGCAGTGGATTTTCTGGGTTGGTCCATTCATTGGAGCTGCAATTGCTGCAATTTACCACCAGTATGTACTCAGAGCTGGCGCCATTAAAGCTCTTGGATCCTTCAGGAGCAACGCTTAAGAAAGCTTTTTTCCTCCAAAAAAAAAAAAAAACATCAAATTGGTTCATGATTGTGTCTTATTTTGTTATGTCCTGTTTTTTTTACGAATAGAGTTGGTTTTAATGGTGAAATTAGAACACTCCATTGTTGCTTGCTCTGTTTCTTCACCAGTCTCCTCCGCCGCCGCCGTGAAATTGAGCTGAACAAAAACATCAATCATTGGCCCTGGAAATTGTACATATTTTTCATGTCTGTTGTCGCCGTAATTTTCTCGTGTTTCATCCTTATCCCTTTCCCCTTCTTTGTTTTATTAATAAAAGAATCTCCTTTATGTTCTTAATTTCCCTATTTAATGGTAAAATTATTGTTAATTATGAGCTGAGCTGAGGGTTTAGTACAGCACATGGATTAGAATGTCTGGGAATTTGTGGTGGAGATACTACCTTGAAACTCTCAAAAGGCTTCATATTCTCCCACTGGAAACCTTATCCACCAGAGTGGCAAGCTACAAGAAGAAAGAAAAAAAAAAAAAAAAACCCCAAAATTAAATATAACAAAAAAAGTTAGGTCACTAATTATATATAAAATATCGTATCTTATCTTGTATTAAATTATTTCAGTAGGTAAAGTCTAGCTGTTACGTTACACAATTTAATTATTTACATTAGGGTTTTGAAATAATGTATGGTCTTCAAGAATATTCTTTTTGGGAATGCACCATTATTTGATGGTAGAGCCAAGATTGCGACAACTAATCTTCGGTCATGAGTGGTTGAGTTTGTTTTAGCTTGTTGTTATAGCACTCTCGATGTCCCTAACTTTGTTTCAGGATTCCTTGAAGATATTGATGATGATTAGATTTATTTATTATTAATAATTGTCTTTCTTGTATGTTCTCGGGTATTCTCGCAACATCATTATTACTTCTAAAGAGCTGTTTGTTTTTGTAGCCACTATGGATCATACTCATTTTTATGAAATCATTACCATAATGACAAAAAAAAAAAAGAAAAACTAACACGTGTCAAAAAAAGAACATATAAATAGAGGGACTTGTTGGGAATTCTACCATATTCCACGTAGCTACTTGTTTCTGTTCTCGGAGGTCCCACCCAAAGGTTCAGGTCTCACTAATAAAGTTCACATTCTACCTTATAATTTTAGCCCGACGTCACTTTGAACTAAATATTAAATTAAAAATTAGAGCGTTTTATACGTATTTCGTCTCTCAAATCACTAATTTTAAGCAAAGTTTAACGATTAAGATATCGGAACGTTAATCGTGTTGATATTTTTGTTATAGTATATATAAAATATATAGCACATAAAAGACCAATGCCACAACTTTAGAGCGGTGGAGGTTTCAAGATGGCCTAAACATTCACGTGGAGGGGACGCTGCTAGGTCACTCCTCCATTGTCCTGTGGGGTCCACTCTTTCAGCCAGCTCACCACCAAACCCCTCTGCTTGCTTAAGCTTTTTATTAAGCCTAAAATAAAATTTTAATAAATATCTAAAATTTTAAAATTTAATAGATTGAAAATTGAATTTTGTGTATATAGGACGGCAAATTTTAAATATTTAAAGAAATATTGAATACAATAATAATGTATTGTATATTTAATGCTTTATTAAACAATAAAGTTAAAAAAAATATTAATTATGTCTAAAATATTGATTTTATACATTAAATATAGAATTAAAAGACAAAATTATAAAGTTTTTGAAATTGATCAAGTCAGAATGTACACATTGTAACATTCACTGGATCGGTTGCGTCTTTTGTATATTAGGCCCACGTGGGCTGACCACTCTGGACAAAATGGACCGCCTCAGAACAAAGCCCAAACATCCAACGCAACAATTTTCCTTATAGAAAATTTCGAAATCCAATCCTTAAAAGAAGAAAAAAATTAAAATAAAAAATAAATTATAGTATTTAATGGTAAAAGTAAAATAAAACAAAACAAAATAATGACATGGTCGGGGATGACTAGACATTTGTTGTCCCAATATATAATTAAATCTAAAAAGATCCATATTTGGTTTAGTCTATTAAAACCTTTACTTAAAATTGAACTTGATACTTATTGAAAAAGTTTCAAAATTCTAAATTTGGCAAAATTACACTTCATAATCCGTGCTTATTCCAAAAAAAAGTTGAACATTCACGACTCATTCTTAAATCAAAACCAATGATCATCTAAGTAGATCTTAAACCGTAGCTTAAAACGTACTATCTCAAGTCATTATATAGAGAAGGAGGTTGAAAAATGGTTGTCAAAAGCCAAAACTCGTGTCACCCTAGATGATTTATTGCCTTCGTTGCTCGTGGCTAAGATAGAGAAGAGACGTTGCTGATCGACCAAACTAAGTATTCTCGTGGATAAGCACAGTGATCATCCAAGTAGATCTTACACCGTCGCTTGAAATGTACTATCTCAAGCCATTTATATAGAGAAGCAGGTTGAAAAATGGTTGTCAAAATCCAAAACTCGTGTTACCATAGATGATTTATTGCCTTCGTTGCTCGTGGCTAAGATAGAGAAGAGACATTGCTAATCAACCAAACCAAAAATTCTTGTGGATAAGTACATTTGGTTATTAGTTAAAAAGAAGCATATCTGAACTGTGAAGAAGAGGGAGAAATAGCCCAAAAAAAAAAAAATTCATAGGTATCACTATGAGTTCAAGACTGTCATCTAACTAAGCCTAGTCGTTGACCAAGCTAGCTACCTTGCCCGATTTTTAGAGGAAAAGTTAATATGCTCAAGAGGCAAGACTGGGATCACCCAAACCTAAAAAAAAAAAAAAAAAAAAAAAAAACT